AGAGAGAGAGAGAGAGAGAGAGAGAGAGAGAGAGAGAGAGAGAGAGAGAGAGAGAGAGAGACAATAAACTTACAGATATACCTTAAACATTAATGAGGAATCAGCATTCACACTGTTACACTATTCGTTTTTGGCATGAAAATGTATATTTTCTTTACTTGTCCAAGTTTCTGTCTTTTAGTTTGTCAAAGAAGTTATTGGCTCATCGCATTAGTTCAACAGGTGCTGGAAGAATCACCAAAGGATATCACACAATGCGCACGTGATTTTCGGTCAGCTTCTTAGCTTATAGCCTCCTTCACAGTGGAGCTGACATACAAATACATCACGGCCAACAGATCCAATCATTTTAAACTTCAGCAGAGGCCACGCCTCCAGCAAGAGTCGCTTCTCTATAGCCGAGAGTCCAGACCCTCGAATGAAGCAAAGCGAAGGACAAGGGTCTGGTTTTTACAAGGCTAGGCTTGACCGTACTTAAGTCACAGATAAAGTTGGCGACATCCCACCCAGACTTGAGCTTTCAGAAATGAGGCAAGCTATGTGGAACCAAAGAGGTGTGGAGTAAAACTCAGCTGCAACGCATCAAATGTGCGACGGACGTCTCCCTCCTGCTGCTCTCAAAACAGGATTAATGAACTCATTTTCATTAAAAGAACCAGCTTACTGTTACTGGAGGCACAAAATTGTGAGGGAAATACACAAATTTCTTCTGGAATTACACTCAGCAACATGTTTGCTGCATTTGCCATGATTTGACATGTATGGAGACTAAAAATTACAACTTGTGTTCTCAAATTAAAATATCTAAGTTAAGAAGGGACCCAAGTGGGTTCCTGATCACAATGACCATGTACAGTAACTGCTTTGAAAAAAAATTGTTGTGTAATTTAAAAAAATATATTTAAAATTCCTTCAATACAAGAGCAAAGCCGTGCAACTAATGTGAAGAAACTGTGAATCCGTGTGAACGCTTCAAGACACTTTGGAAACTCCCTCACAAACGTTCCTATTTTGTCACCAGAAGTCACAACCCAGTTAGATACTTCCTCTGAAGCCGAGTTAGTGTGACCAGGAGAATGTTTGTTGTACCCTAATCAACCCATTCATCAATTCCTCAAAGTCTTTTGTATCTCCAGCTCTGATGTCATACCTCTAACTATAGAATCAGTCATATTGCACCACATGGTGTAGTTAATGCAATTCTATAGGTATTTAAAAGTACAAAGGAAGCAGCAGCAGCTGGCAGTAGCACTTCTGCAAGAATAAAGTCGCAGTTCTCCCAGAATAACTATATAATGTAAATTAGACAATCATGTAAAATTTGATAAACACAGTTTCAAGGATTAAAGGATCCAAGGATTTTTTATTGTCGTACCAGCTTTGGTTTGTGGTACAAAATCTGGAGTCAGGTCCCAGATTAATAA